ATAACTTCCTTAAATTCATTCATTTGGGAAGCTGAACATGTAATAATAAACTACAGTTTCAGCTTTCTAACGAGCACCCAAGCGTTCCTGAAAGATCAGCAGTTCAAAAATTAGTCCCGTTGTTACTTTTTATTTTGAGGGGTATTCTTCAAGCCATTTTCTCGAAAACGCGAGTTTTCTTAGGTTTCACTGCCCGTAACTTCTTGGAAGACCAATTTTATGTTTAATTTAGGATGTGCTAGAAAGCTCCGAGCATGCGCTTGCACTACATCCCTTGCCTTGGTGCGCGCCACGCCTCGGGCGCCCTTCTAATTCGCTGATTCATTTGAAAGCTCATTCAGAGGGAAGCGTTGGTTTATAGATGCTCTAGTACCAGTCATCTTACAAACGTAACGTGCTGGCTATTATCCGATATTACCAAGAATCCCACTGTCGGCCACCGAGAGGGTACGACCCCCCTCCCTCCAAGCTCAACTGAGTACGACCCCCCCGTTGTTACTCGTAACAACGTAGGGTTGACCCTGCTGGAGTAATTGGACGCCAACGGGAGTTTTTGACAGAATTGACGACTTTTGACGCCCCTTATCAGCCCTTATCAATTGTAACCACGTTCCATCACCCAGCAGTGTCCGTCCACTCAATGAACTGTTTGAGTATGACTCTAGTTCAATGGAGTTGAGGCTGGTGGGATATAGCTGAGTTATATTGAAGAGAAAGATATTTAGAAAAAAATGAGAAATGAAAAGTCGTCATAGAAAAAACACAAATAAGATTAATTAAAAATGTGTGATTCACAAACTGCAATGCGAACAAATATGGTGTGTATCATTTCGAAGGAAACACGTACGAGCAATTCCCCACCTTTCTGATTATAAAACATACATAAATTATTTTATCACATGATTTATCACTTCTAGGGTAACCGCTAAACTGGAGAATCGAACCATGTCAGGACGGTGGATTCGTTCACCTTGACTTGATCGTTTGGATACCAGGAAGTATGCTTTCAGTTTTGTTTTTAATATTTTTTAAGTCATAACTCCTACCTACAGATTCACGAACGAAGTAGACTGCGGCCAATTTGGTATTAACATGCCGATCCCTTTCTTCTACCCATGTTCTACACCACCGGGTCACGTGGTTCGTTCAGAGGAGACTTGAACCTTTACGGAAAAGTGAGTTTTATTAGCTGCAGCGCCCTATGAAAGCAATAGAGATTACCGAAAATTTTCCAGGCTGGAGTTCAATTCTACACACAATGCAAGACCATCACTCAAAACTGGGCGAGTATCTAGCAGATATGAGGCGTCAAATGTCTTACTCTCAGCACAAGTAGATGTAATCTACATTTGAAACATAGTGTGACAGTGTTATTTTAACAATTCTTAAAGTCTTATTCAAATCATTTGTTTTGTTATATTGTTATAACTGCATGTGACATTTACAAATGCACCTCAGGTCGTGTCAATAAAAACACACAACGATTTAAATCACAACTATTTATAAATCCCAATAAAATCTGGTTAATTTGATGTGTAGTAGTTTTGACACTATATTGAGCAAACGCTGGCGAAGGGATAGTGTTAAAACGGAACAAACACTAGTGAATGCCACTTCAAGACTTAATTACTAGCGAGTACATAGCATAGTGTTTATGAATTGAAGAATTGTCGAGTTACAGAAGAAATACCGGCACCACATAGAAGATGCTCTTTGAATTTGTACAGCAAAAAAGTGACAATTTATTGGTCACAAAATAGTACCACGGAAGGACTTCAGCTAACGTGCGCGCGCTCCTGGTTCTCCGAACATTCGTTTCTGTGCGACAATGGTCAGCAACAAGTAGCGATTCATAGTATACGAAGAAAAGATTCTTCCACTCTTCTCGCTCTGTTAGTCCGCATACGTGTAATAATATGCAACCTAGAACAAAATGAACAGTGTTAGAAAAGAAAATGCACAATCATCAAAACAAAGACGGGAATGATGACATGACAAATACCCGACTTCAATGAAAACCTCACCTTTGAGAGCTTGTCATGCAGCACAGTTCTATGCATATGACCTCAACCGCTAACCAAACGGGAAATTTCCTGCAAAAAAACTTACATAATATAAAGAGGACGTGATTAAACTCCACAAGTCGAACACGTAAATAAAATTTTGAGACTTTGGAACTGTAATAGTAGAATAGTGCCTGAAACTCTATGCAAATTAGCGTCTTTATATTGCTATAATATACGCTATCGGCCATTTACACAAGTTGCACCACTTCAAAGATGAAAAATGAAAGTCGCAACAATCCAAAGTCCACAATACAATCGAAAGCGTTCCATGATCATGCGAGGATTGAAATTTAACACGAAAAGAACAATCGAAGAAGGAAAAGAGAATGAGACCAGGCAGGTGGATCAGCTGAGAATTTCCGGCATCATCGATCTATGACCTGGATTTAGCACAGCTGGCATGGTGCCAGCAATGACGGACAACTCGTCCGGGGACGTTGTTTCTTTAACCCAGGCTTGTAGACTGTTAAGGAAGTAGGGGATCCCATTTTGAGCTTGTTAGACGCTTTTTCGTTCTTTCTTTTTGTATGTCGACTCAATTGGCGTCCAATAGTTCATATACGGTCAGAAAAATCTTGAGTCCAATCCCGAATTTTGCCTTCAATGAGGTGTCATGAGAACTATGGGATTCAAGTAACCGACATTCCTTTGAACTAAAATAACATAAAATGTGAACCGCCTTTTTCGTTGACTTGAATTGTTAGAGTTTCCACACAACAGACTTCTCCATAGCTGCACGTTTAGAGTTCTCATTTTTTATTCCCCTTCTCTTTATGGCAATGCAGCTCATTACTGTTGCGTTGCTATGCTAGGCTCAAACCAGCACCAGCACTTCTTGAAATATCGTTACGCGCCTTTTGAAAGCAACTATCAGAAATATGTGACAAGCCCTGTAAAGCAGCACTTTGTTTAACGAAATTTTGACTCCATATTACGAGTAAAATCAGCATCTACAATTATTTTTCTGAACGCGGGCTTTGGCGGTATTGTCAACCTACATCTGACGCTTGCAGGGAGACCATTTCTGGAACACTGTCCAGGCGGATTGTTATTGCAGGTTGGCCTTGATGGAGATCAGATTTGTGGCTCTCAAGGGAGCAGGCATTCTTTCCGCCTACCGTGCCTCACGAAGCCCTTGATTCCCTCGGAACAACGTAATTGGTTTCGATGGCACTTCATCTGGTAAACTACAGAGGATTCAAGCTGGCCAGGTCTCTACAATATTTGTCAGTTACTAACTAACATCTCGAATTTTTCCATTTCTGTCATTAGATGACAGTAGTGTCAGCCTAGAGTTTAGAAAAGCAACGCTTGTCAACCATTAGCAAAAACAAATCAAAATTTTCGTAGCATTATTGATAAGAGCAGTTCCGTTAGGGTAAACTTTGATCTGCATTTCTCTAGTAGCAGAGGTAGTTCTCAAAATTGCGTTGTCTCGACCATTAGTCAGAAAGTGTTGAATGAATGTGGCTGTAAGAAGTGTTTAGCAAGAAATTTGAGAAACAAGTGAAAACACTCTCTTAGACACCATGTGAGTTTCGTGGACTCAAACAATTCTCGAAAAGTAGCTTGAGAATTATATCCCATCACACGCGAGCGCAACACGAGGTTGACCACATTTTGAGGGATTATGTTGTGAGCGGGGCGGAAGTGGTGTAGTGGCAAGTGGCACGCTTACCACGCGAGCGGTCCGGGGATCAAATCCTGGGTCGTGAGTCGCCCGGGCCAACCAAGCCTTCCATCCCTCCGGGGTCGGTTAATTGGTACCAGACTTGTCTGGGAGGATAAAAACACTGACTTGTACATCGGCTGGCCCCCGCAAGTCATTGTATAGGCCACATCGCATTCAAACGCCACTACGAATGTACAAATGGAAGTAGAATGCGTGCCGCATCCCAAAAAGGGATTGATCAACGGCAAATGCTTTATCCTTTTATCCTTTATGTTGTAAGCAAGGCACAAGTGCAAGTTCTACATCAACCTGATCGCAAGAGCATGCAAAGGGTTGTTGCTGAAAGACGTTTTCTCATTGAAATCCAAAGTTTTCGAGCTCGCATCGAGAAATTATGGGAGGCGCAATATTGAAGGCTGTCGCGTTATACTTCCTTCTCAGCCTTCATTTTCCGTTCCCGTTTAGGCTTTCAATTTTAGTCTCTTAAAGCGAGAGATTACGATAAAGTGTGTATGCAGCGTGGAAGTACATGCACCATTGGAAGCAGTAGTCAGGGGCCCAAGGAAACGAAATGTTGCGTTTTTGTGGTCAAAGGTGCGCTAGTTGCAGCGTACAAGGCTTGCCATTCCTTTCTGAGCCCCGCCACGGTCTGTGCTCCGCCCCCAGCAGCAGCGCCCTTCGATTGCCAATGTGACGAGATATTCCACTTCCAGAGTGTATCCTATAACTTTTCATGGGATGCGTGATCAATCAAAGCATGATGCTTGCTGAAATGATAGAGGCTATCAGCATAACATGTGCAAACGACCTCCTAATTGGTTGCTAGCTCGTCCATTATCGGAGGTCAACGGGCAAAGAAAGGGGTCCCATTTTGCGCCTTCTTGACGGATTTCTTTGCTTTTTTCGCCACTGGGGCATTATTCAGCATCTCCACTTCCACTATGAACCCAGTCCAAACTTATCGTAATCCCTCGCTTTAATTTGCAGCTACGTATACCATACGCCATTGAAAACGTAGCGCCCCTCAAGGCACATACAATCCCGTCCAACTTTTGAATCGAATCCCTTCCGACAATATCTATTAGTGCGGTAGGAAAGTTTACTTTCTATATTTCCATTATTTTCCTTTCCTTCATTATTCACTGGTGTGCAAAACTTGAGGACGAGATGGAAAAATTGACATAACTTACCAACAATTCGATCGAATTGGAAAGAAATGTGCAAGCGTACTAAGACTGCTAAGATCCTTACTATACAATAGGTATGAAGTGGGCCTCATATATGACAGCGGTCGGCTTCAGTATGGAGCCAAAAAAGAGTGGCCACGAAGAACGAAGGGCTTGGTGGGACAGGACAAGAGGGAGTGTACTGAGCAGGGAGAAGTCACTGTGGAATGTAGTGGTGTTCTTGATTACAGCAAGTCTCAGAGACAACAAAGGGTGACTTCACGCGAGGAAGAATTCCTGGGAAACTGGAAGAAGGAAGATTTGTAACGAGTGTGGTTCAGGAGTTTGGTGTTGCTCACACCGTTGTTTTGTGCGCATAAGGAGCAATATGGACTGCAGCCACTGCTGCCCTAGAAGAGTGGTGGATCACGATCAACTGCAACAGCAGGTGATTGCTACGTTTTGCAACAGGCAAGAATTGACCCACGTCAGTCACAGGCTGCAGTTGCAAAAACATTTATCAGGATTGTAAGGCACGTAATCCCAGGCTGAGCAGTGGCACAGTGACCGTATAGGCATGTTCTTTCTGGACAACCAACAGTATCTGATGTTCGTTTGAAGCCCGCGCATCGGCGGAAAAATTTGCTAGGTGGAGGACATTAACGATGAACCACTAACTTGGTTGATCACGTGTTCGTCTCAGATAAGGTCAAATTGGGAAGTGGATAGTGATTTTGAACTCACCTGCAATGACGAGAATAGGATGACGTAATGCACCCAGGACTATCGTTCAACACAGCTGTTTGAATAGTCCATTAGATATGATGTGGGGAGGAATAAAGTTGCAAGGACGTATCAACCTCCCAACTCGTGATCGCAGTATGCTTTCTAGTCGACGTCTGGTGAAGAGATGCGAGAGCATCAAGCAGCCTCGGTGGAAAACTCTTGAAAAGCGAGGAGGTGAAGCCGGCACCCCATCTCCAGTCTAAACCTGCTGGAGCACTGTGTGGGGTGCATTCAGGAAGAGCTATTGTAGCGCATCCCCATGCGCCAACAATTGTCCAGCAGTTGTCAATCGCGGTCTTCAAGGAATGGATCGCTTCTCCACAAGAACTCTTAACCAACCTTGTGGCCAGTATTGGAGCACGTGGCAGAGCATGCTTTGCAGTCCGTAGTGTTCATACACCCACCCCATCAAGAACCAGCTCCTCTCTTTTGAATGTCTACCATGAGTTGGAGTAGCCTCACCCATCGACCGCTTCAGACAGGGTATTTGCAGAAAAATGTCTTTTCCAATCGCCCCTTTGCGCTTTTCTGTTAGTAACTCTCTGCACTGTACCGCAACATTTACTTCTATATATGTGCCAAATTTGGTCCACCTAGGTTAACTA